ATATATATAAAAATAAAACTAGAAACTTAAGAGAGGATATGAGGGCTTTTTTCCTGTAATCGCAAATTGTCCCCGCGCACTACTGCCCTCTGAAGAAATGGATATAAACTACACAACAATATCCATTTTTTTGCAGTGCTGATGGAAATAAATTGCTGTGTAATTTATTTGTTTAGAGAGCAGTAGCGCGCGGAGACATTTTGCGATTACAGGAAAAACCTTCATATCCTCTCTTAGGTTTCTCTCTAGTATAACACAGAAAGAATTTTCAACAGTCATTAGACTATTAGACATCGTTTGCACTAATTTTTTATTTTTTTTGTTTTACGAAATTTTTTTCCATAATTTTTTCATGATTCTTGGAATGCATATAAATATTTAAAAAATATTTGAACAAATAAATATTTTTATTTTCGTTGATAATTATAGTTACATCTGCTTATACATTTCAATTATTTTTTTAGAGTAAAATTTAAATGTAAATAATGATCTGATTGTATTTCAAAATGTTTTAATTATCTATATATGCTTTATCATGATATCTTTGCGTTTTTTAAATTAAGCGAAAAATCGATGCCTCTGAGAGCCTAATGTTTGCGCTTGATGATGCAATGCTCATTATCAAGAGTTTATATAATGGCACATGCGTAAAGATAGCCAAATGGAAATATTACGAGAATAATGCTGGATTAGTCATAATTTTCAAGAAATAATGTTTTCACAGATCGTTCTTTTCTTTTTTTTTTCATGAACATATATGTACATACGTGTATATTCATGAAAACATATGTACATGTATATTCATTAATAAAACAGTATATATAATATAATTCCAAGGTGTTTACATTATTTCGTTTGTTCCACAGACTTCTATTACTACTTCTATTATCAGACTGTTAACTCCCTAGTTCCTTCCTTCCTTCCTATAAAAGTTGCCTATGCGAAGTGGATGCGCAGAATATCTCTCTCAGGAAAGAGATTCCAACAGATTAGGTAATTTAGCGTTTCTGCGATTAATGTGTAGAAAGCATGCGCAAATATATAATTATATGCTTATTCTGCGCATATAGTATATATACGTTTTGTAGACCGATTTTAAATTTCATACAAACTATTAAATCTTGAAGTCACTTATTATTTAGAAATTCATATAGATATGTGTTACGCCGTTATTGTCATTCCACACGTTTTTGTTTTAAGATAAGATCTCCCTTTTACGGCTCTGTTCAGATTCTCACCCAAGTGCCTCCCAGTATCGTGCTATCTTTATTAAACAATCGGTGAACATATACACAAAAATAAAATGATACTTGGTGGTGCTTGAGTGGGAATCCGAACATAGTCTTGGAAAAGGATTCCAGATGTTTTTTCTTCAACAAGATCCTAGAAGAAGCTCTCCTAGATCTTGTTAAATAAAAAAACATGAAACCTCTTCCAAAACTATATTCAGATTCCCAAATATCATCCAGCATCCTAATTCTGTAATTCTTAATAACAGTTAGTATCATGTTACTGTCGTTGTAGGTATTATAAAATAGTAAAAACATAGCGACAACATATCAATACCAAATTTTCGTTAGAAGTTGCAGAATCAGGGTGTATATATTATTTTATGCTTGTTTAACATTCAGTGAACAACAAGAATAAAATAATATCTGGGAGTGGAATTTCACTTGGGTGGGAATCTGAATATAACCTTGGAAGGGAATTTTATCTTATTGAACAAAAACGTGGGTGATGAATATCTCGTAACACAAATATGGATTTCTAAATAACAATTCAAGTGATTTTAAGATTTAACGGTTTATAAAATTTAAAACAGCCACAAACATAATTCCTTTATTGAATCGAATTAAAGTTTCAAAGATGTTTCTTTTAATGACTTAGAATTATTCAAGATGTAAACGACTAACAATTATGATTATAATATCATTATATTATTAATTATTACGTAATGTTAAATGTAAATAATCGCTTTATTTTATTAATAAAAATATGAAATTTATCACATTTATAACTAATTCTGCCCTCACATACCAACATTTTTTTTAGTCTATCGATTAATTTTTGTCAACTTAAGCAAACAAAAAATGTAATAAATTTTTATTTTTTAGACATTAACAATTTATTTAATTGTTTAAATGAAACGAATAATAAGGTTTCAAATCAATTGATACAGAAAAGCAAAACACACACGTTTAAAAAGAAGAAAAGTCCTCTAACTCTAACCGATATTTATAGAATGTAAAATATATACACTTTAAAAATCAATATTGAAAGTACGGTATACCGAAGCAGATTAATTCTCGCGTTTGATGAAACATAAAACACGTCTATAATATATATAGATGTAATAAAAAAAAGTTAATCATATCAATATTTAAAAAAAGTTTCATTGATTTTTATCGCACCGTTTTGAAGATATTTATTTCTAAATTTATAGAATTTTACACTACAAGTTAAAGGTACCTTATCCTGCAAATATTTTCTTTTAATTGAGATATAAAGTAGAAAAAAAATCATTATAATTATAAAGTAAATACGTACTTATGTTTATTTTCGTAAAATTTCTATCTAAATTAACCGTACAATTTGAAAAAATTCTTCAATGAAAAAAAGCGAGAATGCAAAGATGCGTGTACACATCAAATGAGCATCTTATAATTTTTATTTTTCAAAATATTTAATAATATATAAAATTATACCAATAATTTTAAATTCTAAAATATTGAGAATTTTTTCGCTAAAAAAAAGACGTCTAGGAAAAGAGCTTTAAAGTATTCCCCGCTATATTCGATATGTTTGTATACAAAGAACGGACTTTTAAGTCCTACGTTTTCCTACATACACGATATAAATAATTTCATCATTTTCTATATACAAATGATGTTGAAAGAACGTTCAACGTTTTCTTCTATCATTAAAAAATCATTTGTATCGTAAATATCTCGTAATCGTTATCTAAATGGCTTCACCGCGAAGATTCATGTCTACATTAAAGCATCTATCACCTCAGCCATTAGAAAGTGCTATGTTAAATGTTAGGTGAGAATAGTCAGAATTTTTGTTATTTAAACTAAAGTCCACAAACGAGTAATAATTTAATAAATTATTACTATTAGAGTATGTCCAAGTCCAAAAACTCCAGATAACATTCACGAAAAAAAGATGGAAGATGAAAAGTTGTTACCATTCAATATCGATACTCCTAATAGAGTTGAACTACTCAAGAACGGTCTGTCGAAGAAACATCGTTCTGTGCTTGGAGTGGGTGCTTTCGGTACCGTCTACAAGGTACTTTACAAAGGTGCTTTACTGTAATTTTTTTTTAATAAATTATATTATTTGTTAGAGGTAATTGCTTTACTGTAATTTTTTTTTAATAAATTATATTATTTGTTAGAGGTAATTGCATGTGCATAAAAAATGAAAAGGAATCCGTAAATACGATTTACTATTGTTATATGTTTCTCAGGAAACCAAATGGCAGCAAAGATAATTCCACGCAAACAAAATGATGATGAAGTAATAAACTCGGAGAGACATGCGACTATCCTGCGACACACCAACATTGTGAAAATATTGAGAATAGAACAAGGCAATAGCTTATCATTGATAACAATGGAACTATGCGGCACGTCATTGAAGGACAGGCTGCAAGAATCGGCACTGTCGAAAGAGAAGCGTGTCTCAATCTGGAAAGATATCGCTAGCGCACTTCAATTTTGCCATGATTCTGGCGTAATACATGCAGACGTTAAAGCAACCAATATTTTAATGGCAGCTAACGGTCAAGCTAAGCTCACCGACTTCGGTAGTTCTATACTAGTCGATGAACTGCACGTTTCAATCAGGCCGCGAGTATGCACGCATATATGCGACTCATTGAATCTTCACTCAAAAATACATTAATGAATTCTCTAATAGAATTACAGACACACGCAATATGATTTTTGTAACAGTTTCCATATATCCATACATATATACTCATTAGATATGTGTTCATGTAATGGCGAGATTTTTATTTTTGATGAATTCTATCACTCATACTGCACTGAATTATATATTAGATGAGTGCACATAAAAAGCTTCTTTATAGTATCTAAATACAATGGCATAATGTAATCAACTTTAACAATGAAATAATATACATGTATAAGTATTCTGTTAAATAATGAGACAATATCATATCAATTAATGTTTAATGTTTATCTGGTTCTACATTTATTTTAACTTTACTAATTTATATAATAGCTTTAAATATGCACTAATCTAATTTAATGCAAGTGAAAAAAATTTTGCTATTTAGTTTTCTTTCCTAAAAACTCATTTCTTTATCAGGGTACACCAGGCTATGCAGCACCAGAAGTGCTTCGAGGAGATGTACCTACGTTCGCTACCGATATTTATTCTCTAGGAATCGTAGCCTGGCAAATGCTTTCTCGAGAAGTACCTTTTCATGGATTACATATGCATACCGTCATATATATTTCTGTAAAAGGAACACGTCCTGAATATGAAGCTCTTGATGATGAGTTCGATGGAAGATATAAAGAATTATTCAAAGCGGCATGGTCTCAGAATATTGCAGATAGACCCTCGCTTCATGAAATAATCAGTAAACTTGATCTTTTGTAATCCATAGTTAACATTTATTTGATCAATTAAGCTTAAGCTTATAACGAACCTTACTTGCGATAAGTAATGAGGTTAATGCTTCATCACAATCTTATCAAGATAGAAATAAATCTGATACGCTCAGGATGATGGCTTAAAAGTATTATGTATCCGGCATCTCACCACCAGGTACTAACTGCAGCAAAATAAACAAATTAAAAAAATTTGAGTTTTACTTTCCATTTTAATCATGTCAAAAATTATGATCTATTATTCTATTAGAAGTGTTATTTCTCATAATTATTAAGATACCTCCAAGCAATATGGCCAACATATGCCAACATTAACAAATATCATACACATATACATAGAGTCAACGCGATGTTGCAAGCGCTTTGAAGCGTTTTTTAATTGGTTAGTTTTTAAAATTCTTTCTTCTAATTGGTCCATCAAACGCTTCAAAGTATTTGTAGTGAGACTTTGACACACAGCTATACATATTGAATAATCAATATTTAATAAAGTTGACATATACATTGGCCATTCATCTGGAGATACCTTCAAATTGATTCTATAATGAATTGGCAATCAAAAATATTAAGTCTTAATTTAAATAATGACTGTGGTAAGCGACTAAGATTTTCGCGTCTACAAGTTGTTAATTGTTTAGCTTAATTAATAGGAAGGAATAAAGTCGAATTTGATCTCAAGAAAATTGGTAGTCCTATTGCGTTCAATTTAACGCTCGCAATATTCATGGGCCTTTCGTTTATCTTTAATTAACATTTCATAAACAACAAGAATGAGATGATTTCACAAGTGTTGTGTCATATAAGTTAGCTGTGAAAAAAATCCGAGTGTAAATCCGATGTAATGAGAGAGTAACAGAAGTGTAAACGAAACTTCTAAAAGGCGAAAATTGAACAATGAAATTGTAAAAGAAGCATTTACAATTCTTTTACATTTTGATATTTTAATTTTTGCCTCCTAGAAGTTTCGTTTATGCGTCTGTCACTCTTCCATTACATTCGATTTATATCCTGATTTTACTTCATTGATTTAGATCTACCGACTCATTGTAGAATCAACATTGGGTATCAGATATTATTGATAATGACCATAGTAATATTGCTGCCGTTGAGAAGAATCTGATCCAACTTTGTAACTCTGCGACCTTCCGGGGTTGCCTCACTTTCTGTTACATCTTCCAGTAACATGTTGACAAAATCATCAAAACCTTGCAAAGTTCCTACAATCTCTTTGTCATTTTTCATAATAATGTGTATTCGAGAACCGATACACTTGTCAACTAATTCTAAAAGTAACAATATAATTATTCGCATTGGATTACAAATATCGAACAAAATATTATTGGCATAATTTAAGAAATTAGAAATTCATTTACCTAAAGGTAATAATGTAGATGGATTGGTGCTAACTGAAGCAGTCATGACGATTTATACAATGAAATAGTCGTCAAATAATATCAAATGTACCAATAGGCAATAGGCATACCACAGTATAAGCATCGATGAGATACTATTAAAGACCATCGACCCTGGGCAAATTTTCGTCTGTACAAAAAGACTCGGAGGTAATTGAAGAACGTTGATATTATCAACAAATGATATAAATTTGCGATTATTAATGTATAAATGTTTAATATGGCTAATAGCTAATACATTATTAAATTCATGACTTTTTTTACTATATAAATGCTTCATAAATATACATACCGTGTTTTACTGTCAGTTGTTAGTACAGTATAGTATACGTAACTATAGATTTTACAGAAACTATAGATTTTCAGTACTGGCAGTCAATTGGCAGTAATGCGTCTACAATGGCAGTATCAGTAATAGAGAGACTGTAAGAAAAAATTGACCAATCACAGTCGACTATTCTTCTCACATTCAACTGTAATTGGTCAATTTGTTACTTTTACAATCTCAACCACTACTGCTACTGCCATAGATCAAGCATAATATACGAATTTATAGTGTTTTCGGCCCGAATGAATTTGCACTATCTGGGTTGATGTTTCGCGCTCTCATATTGGTAAAGCGTGTAACGTCAATCAATAACACAGCATTTTCTAACCTAAGTAGTGCAAATCCGGACCGAAAACACTATTAGTTTCATTTATATCAATTCTCATGCTGGATTCACATTGGACCCGACATGCGTCGTACGACGTTCTACAATCAATCAGAAAGCAGAATTTTATTTTGTATCGATGATACGAAATAAAATCCTGTTTTCTTTCACCGTAACTTCGTCGAAATTCGAGCGTTGTTTTAGGATTAAAATTCCCTTAAAATTCTTTCGTCCTCATTGATCAAATTTTTATCTTCAATCTCAGTTTTCAATGCCTAATTTCACTAACGCAGATTAGCTTAATCATGTTTACTGTTTAGTAGAATCGACCAATTGCGGTTTATCACGATTAAGCTTGATCGGTTGATGAAACCGGTCCTTAAGTCGGAAATCAGACTATTTATTGAAGATTGAAATTAAAGATCAAAAATTGAAATTTCATCAATGAAAACAAAGAAATTTTGATTTTTTTTGTTCTGATTGGTCAAACTTTAATCTCGTTCTTCAATGCGTAGTCTTATTCCTGAGACTTGAAAGAAGCTATGCCGACCTCTTTCCTGTTACCGTCGAAATTGCCCATACACTACCGCCAGTACTTCCATTTTCGACTATGGTTTGAGAACTATGTGACTACATTATTTTCTGACATCGATAAAATTGTATCATCGAAGTGGATTCATGTCTATAATACATCCACAGAATAGAAGCGTATTTCTACATAAGGATAGTAAATTCCTCCGTGGATTTGCATATAAATGGATGATGAAAATATGAATTCCTTCATATTTGGACTTAAAAAAAAAAGAAAGCGGTTCGGTGTAAAAAGTGCAAGCAATGTGCGAACATACGTTCCGATTAGATTTTAGCATGCCACACATGCTCCGATTTATTATATTTGTGCAAATCATTTACGCAAGAATATTGAATGAATTTTCTCAATATTTGCTCAAGTCGTTTGCGCAAGCCAAAATAACTGTGCAGTTGTCTTTATGCATCTGCCTGGTCGTTTCAGGTTTAACACTCACTTTCCTCTCATACTGGCTAGATTCGCTGTTGGTTTTGCAGTATGAGCCATTACAATCCAAAGAAGTTGTCTTTGTCACACGTGTTCAAGTAAATTTATGCAAGTGACAGACATACTTGTATATGTGTAAGCGAATATATCTTATCTTTATCACTATGTCGTGATCTACTGCTAATGCCAATGTATTGTGAATTTTGCTTTTTATTTTATCAGGGTGAAGAATATATAGCTGATGCTGTGCTTTTCATCCTGATAAAGTGGACAAGATTCATGAAACATTTATCAATTACAACATAGCGATAAACTCGCAGATGCCCTCTAGCATCTTTGAATTAATTAACCTTTTAATTTTGATAAAGATGTTTTTTCTTTCAGATCTTATTATAATAGTATTTATATCTGAATATTCAGTTTAATAAGAGTTATTTTGGTAACTCATATATTTCTATCTCTTATAACCCTAAGTTTATATAATATTTCAAAAAATCTTGATAAAGTTTAGCAATTTTTTTATTTATTCCTTACAAATATCAGATGTTTTTCTCGAACCTCAGCCTTGCTAAAAAGTTTGCATACTAGCAATAGATTTCAGCAGATTCTCTTCAAGAAAATGCTTGTAGAGATACCTCTGTAGAAAAACCTCTGAGAAAATGTTTCTGTCAGAAAAAAATTCTTATTCGTAAATCCATTTTTCAGATGCGTACATCCAGTCAATCACTTCTTTCTCGCCAAACCAAAGGTCAATCTCCTTTATGGCAGACTCAACAGAATCAGAGCCATGAATAATATTGCGTCCAACTTGTATGCAAAAATCACCACGAATTGTACCTGGTGCAGAATCCTTAGGATTTGTCTCGCCCAACATTACACGGCCAGTTTTTACAACATCCAAGCCTTCCCAGACCTGAAATAGAAATTTTATAAACATGTATATTAATGTATATTAATGTAAATGAAGTTTGTTTAATTGCATATTATTGATATTTGGTTTTGAATTGGTATTGGTGGTATACTTATTGATA